TGAGATGGTAAAGTTGCGTCATATTGTGATATAATAAATATATATTATTTAAATCTTGTCCGTCTAATCACAATAAATTCTTATTAAATATTAAAATATTACAATAATTAACATTTAAAATATTTAAAATATTAAATTATGTTCTTTATCGAAATATTCGATTTACATTATGTTTTCCTGTGTGAGTTAATGGGTTATCGCGTCGTAATATAAGACGCGATGACGTCTATCTGAACCCGCAAACAGCTGTTCGACAAGAGGAAATGAGTTCCTTGTAAAACTTTCTGTATGTGGGAGCCATTACACGGCGCCTACCGGTTTCGACAGAATTATTTCTTTAGTAAAATGGCTTTGATACGCACTCTTGTACGGAATGCAGTAGGACTGGCTCCGGTTCTGCCTGGAATCCATGTTATTGGCCCAGTCTTGCGTATGAGAAGGTTAGGTGACGAAGACTGACGGGACGGAACAAGTGGAACTCTTATCTGTGTTCTGTAATCTGTAAAACCCGCTCACCGGGTCCATCAGTTTTAGTTATTAGTTTCCTCTTAATACGTCTTGACATTTATATGACAGGTCGTTCAAGTTCCCAGAACACTTACCTGAAGATGGCCATGTAAGATCGAAACATGTAATATTATAAATGATTGTTTGAGAGCAATGTATCTATAATTAAGGTCTCGTCATTAATAATTTATATCAGTCACATTAGTTCTGTTTCAATAAAATAGTTTTAAACTTCAAACCGAGTGTGAAGTGTCTTTGGTTCTTAAATACTTGTATTTATAATCACGGCGTTTCTGTGTCAGATGTAAATTCTCACATTCCTCTGTACCAAGCTACAAGAATTGGAGAGAAACGCTGGACATGAACACATGAACTAATAGAAGGAGAGAAACTTCGCTTATCCGTCAAAGCAGAAACATATTTGTTCTCGTTCTAAAACAAGGCTGTGTACAGAAGATGATTGTCTTCTGGGTTGTTGAGCCGTGTTACTCATCGCCCTGATGATGGAGGCAGTATGACCTCTGAAACTTTGGTAAACATCTACCAGACTACACAGCGCAACAACCCAGAAGACAGAAATCTTCATACTCATCGCCCTGATGACGGAGGCAGTATGACCACCTCTGAAACGTTGGTTAACATCGACCAGACTACGCGGTGCAACAACCCAGAAGACAGAAATCTTCTACCGAAGTAAATATTTCGTATTTCTAATAAACGTTGAGGGAATTTGCCATAACGTGACGTGACTTCTAGGATGCCGATATTAGACTTTCACATCTAACTTAAGTAGAGTAAAGTTACGTGCCTCTTTGAAGAGGATGTGAGACCAGGTAAAGGCGAGATGCCTGCGTTCCGTTTCGGATGCTCAATTACAGTGTTAGAACAGCTTTACCGTCGTTCCTCAGGAGACGCGCGCGGACTGTACGGAGCTTTGGCCAGTCATCCGGCATCAGCGTCAAATTCAACAGAAAAAGAATCCAGCTTGGAAGTTTCGAATCTTAAGACAAGTGCCCTCAAGACAGGCACAAGGCTTTCTGGCGCCCTCGACTGAGTTTTAACCTCGAGTAACTTTCGAAAACAAATTTCTGCATTTTTAAATTTAAATATAATTTACGTGATAAAGGAGATTCTGATGCATTTTTAAATTTAAAGATAATTTACGTGATAAAGGAGATTCTGAATGTACATTGTAATTTTTCCACACATTACACAAAATATTTACTAATCAAGAAATCTTATAAAATAAACTTAAATTTTGCAAAAAAAAAATTGACAAATTAATTGTGTTCAAAGTACAAGATGTTTTTGAAACAATGTACTGACAAATCTTTGTTGCTGTGAGATTTACATCAATAGTTTACGTCGCTTTTAAACTCAAGAACAGAACAGATTTCAGTCTTCTGTTTCCAATAGGCCTAATGGCTGTTTACTGGCGTGAATAGACAGCCACGTGCTCATTGACCAAACGTAAAGGAACAAAACACGCTGAGACATGCCTCTGTCTCTCTTAGCCAGATCACAGGTAAACAAGATGAAGTTCTTGCATCCGATCTGGTTAAACAATGGACCAGTCACGTGTAAAAGTACATGACACACGTTGCACGTTCTTCGGACGCTGGACGCCATTCGAAGTCAACATCCTAGAAGTTATTCTGAGTGACGTGAATGAAGGACGGAGGGAAAATGGTTGCTATCTTTTGGCGAGCAGTTTGTTTCGTGTTCCGTTTTGTTCTGTGAAGAAATTTGGTCACAGAAGCATGAAGAGAGGTTTACTAAAAGTTAAAGAGAGCGTGAACTTGTGATCAACAAAAGATATTTGTAGTCGGCACAACCTTTTAAGTCGGACGTTCGACAGAGCCAAACTGTAGTTGATGTTTCTTAAGTCTACAGATTTGAAACCAACAAAGAAATACATGAATATATTAAGACGCTCACCTCATCGACTTTTATCCTGAGCCAGATTGGCCCATGCGTTCACATTTTGTTTATTTCATTTAATCACTAGAAAAACATTCGGTAAATAATACGAATGTCACTGTACTAACAATAGACAAATTACTGATACCCAATACTGTTTGTGGGGTACGTAGCGCCGTGCGCATTGTGCTGCCACCTGTGAACCAATTACATGTAAACACAACAGATACATGAATGGTGCAACACTAGCCTAGTCGGTAAGAAAGTAACTACGCTTTAAATTTTAAAAATTTCTTTTCTATTTATTTCTC